CTTGGGGCTCTCTTGGGCTGCCTCTTAGAGCATCTTGGGGTGCTTTGGGGGGCCTGCTTGGGGCCTCTTGGGGGCGCATCGGCGCCTCCTGGGATCTCTTGGGGCCGAAAGCTCGGAATTCGAGAGTGGCTTTCTTTCTCTGGGACTCCTCTCGGGCACGTGTTGGGGCTCTCTTGGGCCGTCTTGGGGTGGGCCGTCCTGGGCTTCTCGTGGCCCGTCTTGGAGCTCTCTTGGGGGACTCCTAGGCCGTCTTGGGAACCCCTTGGGCCGTCTTTGACGCGATGGCAGCCCAACAGGCGAACATACGAAAGATATACGTTTCCCCACAGGAATGGGACGATGTTTGCTTCTTGGAGCTCTCTTGGGGTGCCTCTTGGAGCGTCTTGGGGTGCTTTTGGGAGCCTTCCGGGCGCTTCTTGGGGGCTTCTCGGCGCCTCCTGGAGCCACTTGGGGTCGAAAGCTTGGAATTCGATGGTGGCTTTCCTCCTCTAGGGCCCTCTCGGGCCAGTCTTGGGGACTCTCTTGGGCCGTCTTGGGCCCTCCGTAGGCCGTCCTGGAGCTCTCTGGGGCTGTATTGGGGCCCTCCGGGGCGCGTCCTTGGCCGGACCGACAGCGAAAACAAGCAATATGTCAAAACTATACGTTTTACGAAGGGAATGTGGCTATTTTGGCCCCTTGGGGCTCTGTTTGGGGCCCTATTGGGGGTCGCTTGGGGTGTCTTGGGGGCTTCTGAAGCCGCCTTGGAGGCCATGTTGGGCGTCTGGGAGCGACCTTCGGGCGTCCCGGGTCTGTTCTGGAGCCTCTTGGGGCCTCCTTGGTGCCTTCTGGCGGTCTTCTGTGAGGTGGGCCGCTGCTGTCTCCAGACATGCGATGTCCGGACGTTGTCATTACGGAGTCCTCAGAATGCCCAGCCCCTTTCCCCAAGGCCAGTTTTTGTTATCCACCCAAGGAAATCTTTGGACGGTCCTGGGGCTCGGCGGGGGCCCCTGGATGGGAGAAGGAAAAACGCCATAAACATTACGCAACCGAGGAACCCCACATACTTAACTTAAATGTTGAGTGTTTGCTTAAGTTTATAATATATGTGCAATTCTGCGTTCTCAGCCCTCGTCGCGAATGTTCCCCTATGTGTCATCCAACGCCATATTGCTTGAACCTCCTCCCTCTTCCTAGCCTTCTATCCTCCGTCGAGGACAGATTCGAGCCAGCCAGCGGCCGCGGTGAGGGACCACCCCCTGCGCACCCCCAGTGGTGTCGAGAAAATGCCGCGCCTGCTATGCCCTGGACGACCGTCGTGCATAGCGGCCGCGGTGAGGGACCACCCCCTGCGCAGCCTCTATGGTGTCGAGAAAGTGCCACGCCTGCTATGCCCTGGACGACCGTCGTGCATAGCGGCCGCGCTGAGGGACCACCCTCTGCGCACCTCCTGTGGTGTCGAGAAAGTGCCACTCCTGCCACGATCTGCGAGCGTGTCACGGATAGAGGCCGCGCTGAGGGACCACCCTCTGCGCACCCCCTGTGGTGTCGAGAAAGTGCCACTCCTGCCACGATCTGCGAGCGTGTCACGGATAGAGGCCGCGCTGAGGGACCACCCTCTGCGCACCCCCTGTGGTGTCGAGCAAGTGCCACTCCTGCCACGATCTGCGAGCGTGTCACGGATACAGGCCGCGCTGAGGGACCACCACCCTCTGCGCACCCCCTGTGGTGTCGAGACAGTGCCACTCCTGCCACGATCTGCGAGCGTGTCACGGATAGAGGCCGCGCTGAGGGACCACCCTCTGCGCACCCCCTGTGGTGTCGAGAAAGTGCCACTCCTGCCACGATCTGCGAGCGTGTCACGGATAGAGGCCGCGCTGAGGGACCACCCTCTGCGCACCCCCTGTGGTGTCGAGCAAGTGCCACTCCTGCCACGATCTGCGAGCGTGTCACGGATACAGGCCGCGCTGAGGGACCACCCTCTGCGCACCCCCTGTGGTGTCGAGAAAGTGCCACTCCTGCCACGATCTGCGAGCGTGTCACGGATAGAGGCCGCGCTGAGGGACCACCCTCTGCGCACCCCCTGTGGTGTCGAGAAAGTGCCACTCCTGCCACGATCTGCGAGCGTGTCACGGATAGAGGCCGCGCTGAGGGACCACCCTCTGCGCACCCCCTGTGGTGTCGAGAAAGTGCCACTCCTGCCACGATCTGCGAGCGTGTCACGGATAGAGGCGAGGCCGCGCTGAGGGACCACCCTCTGCACACCCCCTGTGGTGTCGAGAAAGTGCCACTCCTGCCACGATCTGCGAGCGTGTCACGGATAGAGGCCGCGCTGAGGGACCACCCTCTGCGCACCCCCTGTGGCGTCGAGAAAGTGCCACTCCTGCCACGATCTGCGAGCGTGTCACGGATAGAGGCCTCTGCGCACCCCCTGTGGTGTCGAGACAGTGCCACTCCTGCCACGATCTGCGAGCGTGTCACGGATAGAGGCCGCGCTGAGGGACCACCCTCTGCGCACCCCCTGCGGCTTCGAGAAAAAAGCCACTCCTGCCACGATCTGCGAGCGTGTCACGGATAGAGGCAGCGCTGAGGGACCATCCTCTGCGCACCCCCTGTGGTGTCGAGAAAGTGCCACGCCTGCCACGATCTGCGAGCGTGTCACGGATAGAGGCCGCGCTGAGGGACCACCCTCTGCGCACCCCCACCCCCTGTGGCGTCGAAGGAATGCCCTGTGTGGTATGCTGTATGCTGTGCTGTGCTGTGCTATGCTGCTGTGCGGTGAGCTGTGCTGTGCCGTGCCGTGCCGTGCCGTGCTGTGCTGTGCTGTGCTGTGCGAGAAGGAGAAGGGGAGGGGGGAGGTGTGAGACGCGGGTGCGGCGCGGCAGGGAAGAAAACCAGAACCCCACGAAACATGTGGGGAATAAACTTTTGGCGCGCCGCGCGGCTTGCTGGGATCCGCGCTGGACCCCCCTCCCTGGCGCGCGGAGCGCGCCAGGGGCGGCGCCGGAGGCGCCGCCGGGGGGGGCCCAGCGCGGGTCCAAGCACTCCGCGCGGAGCGCCACAAGTTCGCGTTGATCGCGCTGCTTCTTCCTCGGCTGGAGGGCCGACAGCGACGAGAGGCCCCCCCCCCGGTGGTGACTCTTCCCCCGCGACGCGAGCAGGCCAGCTTTCCATTCACGACCGGCTTCTCATCCACGGCCAGCTTGCCTGGAGGCCTGGCAGTGGACACCAACACCAACACAGGGGCTTGCCTCCACATGGGGAAGATGATCCTAGAGTTCGGTGTCGGTGGTAATATTTCGGTCACCTTGGAAGCCAGAATACTATCACCATCGCCGAGATCGGGATCGTCTTCCCTCGGTGGGGGCACACCGCCGATCTTGGTGCTGGTGTCAACCTCTAGGCCTGCGACTTTTTATCCACGGCCAGCTTCTCATCCACGGCCAGGAAGGTCTTTCGATGGTCCCCTGGGGGCTCGGCGAGGGCCCCTGGATGCGAGGCGGGGGGTTATCCATATCCACCGCCTGGGAACCGACGTCCTGGTGCCCCAGCGGGCGGTGGATATGGATATAGTTTGGCCCCCGGGGGCCCGAATATACCTGTACGACACCCTTCGGATGATAAGGAGGTTGTGGGGGGGGAGAGGGGGGGGAACCAACATCTGACTCACTCGATCTCACTATCGATCTCACTCAACGGACACCACGGGACACCACGGGACACTTGTCGATCTCACTATCGATCTCACTCAACGGGACACCACAGGACACCACGGACCACCACGGGACACCACGGGACACCGCGGGACACCACATCGATCTCTCTATCGATCTCACGATCGATCTCACTATCGATCTCACTCAACGGGACACCACGGGACACCTCGGGACACCTGTCGATCTCACTATCGATCTCATTCAGCGGGACACCGGGACACCTTGGGGCACCACATCGATCTCAGTATCGATCTCACTATCGATCTCACTCAACGGGACACCACGGGACACCACGGGATACCACGGGACACCTGTCGATCTCACTTTCGATCTCACTATCGATCTCACTCAACGGGACACCGCGGGACACCACGGGACACCTCGGGGCACCACATCGATCTCAATATCGATCTCACTATCGATCTCACTCAACGGGACAGCACGGGACGCCACGGGACACCACGGGACACCAGCGGGACACCGGCGGGACACCGCGCGGCACCGGCCGCCGGAGGAGCAACATTTGGTCCGGCCGCGGTCCAGCCACAGGAGGATTTCGGGACACCCGCGGGACACCGGCGGGACACCGCGCGGCACCGGCCGCCAGAGGAGCAACACTTGCTCCGGCGCCGCGGCCCAGCCACAGGAGGATTTCCTCTCGCCCGCCCACGCAGCTACGCCTCGCCCGCACGCACGCACGGCACGCACGACGCGAACCCGAAACCGAAAAATCGACTTCCCGGCAAGGGGGGTCTCCGTGTCACGTCGGACCCACCCCCCAACCTCCGATCCATATCCACCGCCTGCCGAGGTCTCCGAAAATGGATCCTCCAGGCGGTGGTCAGGTACCCTGACCTTCCGGAGAGCTATTTTCAGCACTGGAAGCCCCACGAAACGAGACAGCCTACAAAACCAAGACATATAATAGCCCTGGGATAGGTTTGTAAGTCGCGTGCTATTTTTCGGAAGCGGCCAAGAGGGGGGTGTCCAAGAGGGGGGGGTGCAAATCATGACCGGCGGCATGTGCGCGGCCCAGCGGGCGGGCCAGGGACGTAATGAAATAAGAAGAGGCGCCATGAAATCTGGGGAAAAATCATGGCCCCCGCCATGATATCCACCCCCCCTAGGTCATCACCCCCCTCTTTTCCGCCCCCGAATTCTGTAGCCCTCCTGGAAGGTCAGGGTAGGGGTTCCCGCCTCGGGCTGGAGGCCGACGACGCCGAAAGGGCCCCGCGTGGCGACTCCTCCGCGGCGCGCGCCAGGGGGGTCCGCTGCCACCCCGCCGCGGCGCCTCCGCGGGCCCCCGCGCCCCCGCGCCGCGCCGCGGGCGCCCGGGCCGGGCCCCGCGCCCGCGCAGCCCGGCGGGGGCCAC